GGATACAAATCAACCAAGTCCAAGGCAAACAAGAGCATCCCTAGATAAGTTTTTTCCGATTTATACTGAGAGTGCGGATGTGTTTTCTGGAAACATTATAGTTCCTTTTGAAGCGTTCAGGCATCCCTGATTTCCAGAGTGCTTGGTTTCACCACTTAACGGACTTCTCAGGAGTTTTGAGGAAGGCATCATCTAGACCTTCCTCAGGAATCCCTCAAAAGTCCAGTAAATGGGGACCCATGTTGATAAACTGCTGAATCAGAACCCAGCTTGTATAACCTTCCCAGAATAGGGGGACCCCAAAAGCCCTAAACCCTAAACCCCAACATCCCTAAACCCCAATATCCCCAAACCCAAACCCCTCAGATGGTATCCCTAAGGCCACATCCTGGTCTTCTGCCTTCCTTGTGTCTTTGCTGCTTGCTTCTGGCCACGGACGATCGCCTTGACCTCACCGAATGAGATGCTAGCTCAGCCTTTTGTGGAAGGTTCTGTCTTTTGCTCCCGCCCTAACAGGAGTGCACACTTATAGCATCTTATGGTTGAAGCGTGATCAAATTGTAAGCAGTTCTGTTTTGCAAAATTTTGTGGAGTAAGTCGCAGGGCAGCATCTTTGCATCCGAATTGCTCGAATGATCGTAGGTTTATAGGGCCAGGAACGGGAACTTCTAACCCTTCCGTCCAACTTAGCCTGACTCATGTCCAAGAATGCCTCCAAACTGTAAGTTTGTCCCTAGCACGGAGATTTCTTTCACGCAAGAGACCTCTTGGGAAAGCTAACCGAACTTGCCCAGGATCCGGTACACGCAGGAAAACCATTGGGGTGACAGCGGATGCCATGCCGCTGACCGGGCTAGCTTTGTGATCTTCCTGGCGTGCGCGCTACTAGATGGGAGTTTCCCAAAATTGTGGGGTACCATCTGAAGTCCCTATGACGAGGATTATGGTACTGGGACCCCCCTAGTTAGGGAAGCTGCAAAATCACACTTGGGGAAGCCAAGGGCTTGATCAAGACTTCCCTTCACAGAGCCAGAAGAGCGCGTGTCTTCTTTGATGGATATATACGGGGATTCCTGGTCGAGAAACTTGTAACTTGCTGGTTGCTACTGAGCCCAAACAGAGAACAACAGAAGCGTGTAACTACACTTACTGACTTGTTTTAAACGATTTCAGGTTACACTCCAAAAGCCCGATATGAAGATAAACAAATGGTAATTTCCCAAAATAGGGGGACCCCAATATAGACCCCAAAATACTATAGTCCTTATTATGGGGACCCCCAATAAGGGTACCCCTAATTTTGGTAAACCTCCAAAAAGCCCAATAATTGAGGAATATGAAGATAAAAACATCAACAGCTTTTCTTTCGACCGAGTCTCAGGCTCGTCGGCGGGCATGTCTCTGTATATTTGCTGAGCAGAGCCACCACGTGGCATCTGGTTGCAGCAGCTGGCTATGCTATGTTCAATGCAGTGCAGGCGCTTTCGGCATCGCTGTTCCATGCGCCGTTGCGACGCGTGGAGGGATGCTCATATGGTCTCATGTCCATGGCATGGCCCAGTCCCAAGACTCATGAGGCCTATTGGGATAATGGAAAATCAAA